GCACAATATAAATACAAGGAGCTGTTGTTGAGCTTCAGAATTGAATGAGGGGACATCTTAACCTTCCTCCTAATACAAATCAGACAGACCATTGAGTGGGGAGGATCCAGTGAGGGGAAGACTCAGATTAGGGAGTGCAGGCTTGGAGTTCTTCCGACATGAAAGGCACTATATAAATGTAATTTGTTGTTGTTGGAGTTTGGGTTGGAGCTTGAGAGTTCAACTGTTTTTTCTGTGTTGGAAAAGCCTATTGCTTGATGTATGATCTTGATACACTGGGGTCCTTCAGTAGAAATACATTATGACCATTCCTTTTTAAATTTCATATGGTGACAATTGTACTGCTTATTGGTATAATTAATCTTTATGAATCTATATGAGAAATATTTCTTCCAATTCTCAACAGTTTTGCTCTGCTGAGTCTCTTCTGATCAGATTCTATTCCTGGAAATACTCAGTAATGTCACCAACTGCCACAACACCAAGTTTTGCTTCCTGGAAGGATATTGCTCTAAATTATATTTAGTGCACATTTTTGGCTTTGATAGCCAGAGTGAGGGGAGCAGAACACATGTATTTGGCAACTATCACGCTAAGACTTAAAATAGGTTTATCTTAAATGTGATATATTTAATATTATATTGTAATTTAGTGTCAGCTTGGTTCAGTCAGTAGCATTCCACCTCTGTGTTAGACGTTTATGGGTGTAAGCTCAACTAAGGACTTTAAGTTCACAGTGTACAAAATACAGAGTCGCTATACTTTACGCTAAATGCTTTTAGAGGTTCTCTTGACTTGGGTGCTGTAACTAATACAAGGCTATTTTTATTTAAGTTTACAAATTCAATGCACTCATTTTGGGTCTTTTCCATCCTCTAAAAATTGTTTCTTGTATTATGATTTGATCAGTTATCCAATCAATCAATGTTAATTTGGCAAGTCAACTCCAGGTGTTTGACCTACTCATTTTGCTCTTAATATTATTTGTTCTGCACAAATGCATTCTTCCCACCATCCTCAGGTAATGAAACCTGAAGTAAAAATAAACTATTTCCTTTGGTGTTTCCAAGAGAGAAAAAAAAATTACCATGTGCATTCAAGTAAAAACAATTGCTTGCAAAAACTAGCTTTTAAAATTCTACTTAATTTTTAGACTGAATGAGTAAAATACTTTATTTGTTTTCTACAAAATCGTATTAGGAAATCAATTTTGTGACAATGAAACCGACAAAGTAAATGATATGCTATTCTGTTAGTTATTCAGTTAACTTTGCTTTCCAATTCTACTTCCTTTCTCCTTTTTCTTTTTTTTAAAAAAACTTTTCTAACGTAAAATCCTGTTCCAACTATCCCTTTTGGGAGTAAGAGTGGGTGTCTGCTTCTAATTGATTTTTTCATTGGTTGAAAGTCAAAAGACTTGTAATTGACAAGGGTGGGAAGAGTAAAGATGACCAACGGTGCGGTCGAAAGGTAGGTCCTGAGACAGACATTGGTTGAGGTGATGGAGCAAGGGAGTTGGAGAGACTCCAGGATGGAACTCCAGGGACTGGGGGCAGAAAGACTGAAGTCCCACTTGCCAATGATGGGGGAGGATATATAGCAGGTGTAGCAGGCTGAACGAAGGTAGATACAGTTTAAGGAGGTCACAGAGTTAGAATGGGGTGAGACTATACAAGGAATAAAAGATAGGAAAGAGAATCTTGAACTTGATCCCCTGGGAAGGAGAGCCAAATAAATTTGAAGGGAGATGATTGCAAAAAATTATGATCAGTGGCTCATTCAAAAATGATCATGTAAATCCTTCCATCCTTCAAATGAGATGTTAAGCCTATATCCTGTATGATTATTAAGATAGGCCTTAAAAATGCCATAGCACTGTTTGAAAAGGGAGTTTATTTTGGTGTCCTGGTAAACAGCCTTCATGGCTGTTTGTGGAACACTGCAAATTGGGCTGCAATGTTCATCACTTAACAGTATATCACGTGAAGCGTTTTGAGATGTCTTGGTGACATGATAAGGCACTATATCAAATGTAAGGATTATTTTAATCGCACAACTGTAGGAAAATCCAAAGATGATTATTACCCTGACTCAGGGGGGCCAGGTTTGGAGGGGGGAGGGGTGAGAGAACAAGCTCATGGTTTAATTTGGTTCTCATCAATCTAACAGTTGAACACATGATGTAAGGCTAGGGAAAATGTAATGTTTACATTGATCTATGATGTTGAAAAACACAAAGTTACTTGTATAAGTGTGCAGTTAGTTAAACTGTAAAATTGAGACATTGTGTCAAGATGCTCTACATTAATCTATTCCCATCTTGTTTGTTTAGCTTTGTATATTGGTTGGTAAATTACAGCAGGATTCAACAGGAAGCATAACAAGGGCAGACAGCACTTGCATTTGATCCGGTGGTTAGTGAGACAGTACAAAAATATTCCTGAGGACATTGAACAGGAGCACCAATACTATCTTTGGGAAGACCTTTGACACAACCTTACTGTATATTACAACAACCTAGATTCTGTAGGCGATACATTACGAAAGTAAAATTATGATTGTGTGGTTTGCACATTGACTCACACAAAAAGTTTTTGTGAGACAGATTTATACAGAATTAAATAACTCATGAGACATCTTGCATGGAGTTATTTTGTAGTAGGATTTTATGTTAGAAATTCCATGTTGGTTGCCACATCATTTGTTCACAAGTAGTAAAATAATATAAAAATCATTGTACATTATTAAGACATCCTTAACCGTTTCAGTTTGTGGAGTCCTGTAGATCAGTGGTTAGAGCACTCGCCTTGCAGCAAGAGACCTGGATTTGATCCCCAGCAGGGCAAAATGTTGAACAAGTTTCCTTGCTCCACATGCCTCTGTTTCCCTAGCAATAACTAGGAACCCGGTCGAATTTGCAGATCGCTTTGCCGAGGGTTATAATTCCTTCAAAAATAAATTGCACAATTGGCTGCTGCGTTTCACCCACAAAATATGCAGTCAATTCCCTCTACAGTATATTCTGTGAAGCGCTTTGAAATGTCTAGAAGGTGTGATAATAATAATAATAATCCTTGCATTTGATATAGCGCTTTTCACGTCGGGAGGACGTCCCAAAGCGCTTCACAGAACACACTGTAAAGTGAATTGACTATATTTGTGGGCGAACGCGGCAGCCAATTGCGCACAGCAATGTCTCACAAACAGTCGTAGATTGAAAATGACCAATTTAATTATTGTTTTTGGTTTTGGAGGGATTATTATTAGGGGTTTGGAGTAAGGAAACTTGCCCAAGGTTTCGCCCTGCCTGGAATTGAACTCAGGTCTCTCGCTTGCAAAGCGAGTGCTCTAACCACTGAGCTACAGGACTCCAAAGACAGGACTGTAACCCAGCATGAGGAAGAGAGAGAAAAGGCTGGAGGGAGAGTGCGAGTAAAAGGGTGGGGAGCAAGAGACTAGCAGCTTTCCGAATGAGGAGGGGACATTATAAACTCACTGCCCCCTTCATTTTCATGGTGCAGAAAACGCAACTGCATGGTTTCAATCATGAATGTGGAAAATGAAAGCAAATGTAGACATAGAGATAAGCACAATGTCAAATGCAAGGATTATTATTATTTACTGTTAAGTGCAGTGACTGTGTATTTGTAGGCAAACACTGCAGCCAATTTGCGCACTACAATGTCCCACAAACAACCAGATGGTGAAGGAGTTTTATTTGGGGAATTGTCAGTCAAGAGTTCAAGAGAAACTCCCTGCTCTTTGGAGTGGTGCCATGCGATCTTTAATATCCATCTGGACAGACCTCAGGTTAACATCTTATCCGAAGCATCTCCAACAATGCAGCACAACCGCAGCTCTGCATTGGAGCATCAACTGGTTAGTTCAAAGTTGCGAAAGGCCACTACACCGCAGCCAAAAAGGTAGTTTAATTGTTATGTACGAAATGCAAGGATTATTGCCACTGCTTTTACTTTTTGGTCAGCCAGCTGTCTGACACATGAGGAAACGATCACCATTCTTAAGATTATCCAAACCAAATTGAGAATTCCATGTATCCCACCTATCAATGCGAATTCCAGATTTTTTGAATGCCCACTCTCTCCCTGAAGGGACGCACCCTGCATATCTAATTCCAGAAAGTATTAAGTGCAGGTTGGCAAGAGACAAGGCTTGGGGACCCCAGAGTGTGTGTTGGGGTACTGCTCGAGTCTAACCAGCTAAAACCGCATAGCTTGCCATTGATAGAACTGCTTGGCAAGTCTTCCCCACTGCTTGTCCAGCTAGGACCACCGTACCCATTAGTGCTTTGGCTTGCAAGGTTAACAGGAGCTGAGTGGGATGACTCCCTGCGCCCAGTGATTGGTTTGCCTTTCCAGGTCCTGCCGATGAGCCAGTCTGGCTGTATTGTCATCAGCAGTGCCCTGGCATACTGCGGACGCGCCTGGCTCAGGAATCGGACTACCGAGATCACCACAGAGGGCTGGCTCGATTCTGACATTCCGTTGCCAAGCACATCACTTTGGAGCCTGTGTCAGCTCCAAATGCGAGGATTATTGCCATTGCTTTCGTTTTCCGGCTTCTCGCCTCTTCAATGCAAATGCATTCTCCAAACCCTGACACGAGGAGGCGTGGGTGTCTTGCTTTGTGTCTGGTGTGACTGAAGTTCTCTCCACCAAACCTCCCCCACCAGAACCCTTCCCCCTGCTTCTGGTGTGGAGGATGATTGGAGGCTGAGCCGCCGCACCCCTCCGGCTCTGATCCTTGTCCTCCCAGTGGTGGAGACAGATGTCCATCAGAGCCTGAGGCTGATGTTGGGCTCAGCTCAGCTGGGAAGTGAATCCAAAGGAAAGAGGAGTGAGGCTCAGAGCAGCAGCAGCAGCCAGTCTGCCTCTCTCGCTCTCTCTGTGTGTGTGAGAGTCAGTCATTGAGTGTACAAACTGTTCCTCTTTTTGGGGGGGATTTCACGTTTTACATTTTTTTTTGTTTGGAGTTGGCATTTTATATATTTTTATTCTGTATTTCAAAGAAAAAAAAATGTATTGTTGCTGAAGGTTGTTCCCACAGCCAGTCAGGGAGGGGAAGGCAGAGCAGAGGAGACTCAACACCAAAACACCAGCAGAACCAAAGAGAGGAAACCCATTTCAGGGACAGACCAAGTGAGAAGGTGAGTTTTGGGGGATTTCTTCTCTGGTGACTGATACACTGTAGCCCCAAGCCCTTTCTTTCCAGTGTGAATTAACTTGAGACAGTATTGCGAGAAACGTTAACAACAAGGGTTTGTTGTTGTCAGTTTGTTGAAGTTCCACACATTTTTTTGTGGGGGGAGGGGGGAAGCAGGGTCTCATAAGTTGCCATTTTTTAAAAAAAAGTCCTGTCACCGCAAAAGATAGGATAATGGTAACTTCAGTCTTGAATTTCTTATGTTTGTGGCTGTCAGACACAAGTTAACGTGAGCTTCTGTCTTGGGCTCTAACTGTCTCCATCCGTCTCGGGCTCCGTCCGGGACCGTCTCGGGCTCCGTCCGGGACCGTCTCGGGCTCCGTCCGGGACCGTCTCGGGCTCCGTCCGGGACCGTCTCGGGCTCCGTCCGGGACCGTCTCGGGCTCCGTCCGGGACCGTCTCGGGCTCCGTCCGGGACCGTCTCGGGCTCCGTCCGGGACCGTCTCGGGCTCCGTCCGGGACCGTCTCGGGCTCCGTCCGGGACCGTCTCGGGCTCCGTCCGGGACCATGAATTTGTAGAGCTGGAACCTCATTGAAGCCGCCCATCTGCCGAACTGAATGAGTGGTGTTTGTGCATTTCCCTTCCTGTCTCAGTCCAGGGATGGTAGTTTACAGTTCTGCAAAACATCATCCAGAATGTTTTCTAAATCATTATCTCAAACTTTTCTTTGCAGGTTCTTGGGAATATTGCAATGATCTAAAAAATATAGTGAATGAAAAGAAGAAAATTTAGTGGTTGCCCTTCTTTGATGGGTCTAAAGTAACTTGTAGCTTAGAAAACATTTTGAATTCACAAAAACATTGTGTGTTCATTTATGTTCTTCATATTGAAATATATGCACTCACTGCTCTGTATTGTTCACGGTGTTATAGACTTTGCAATATTTCATGGACTAGAGTGATAAATGAATTATATTGTACAATACAATATGACGCATTAAAACTGTACAAGGAATACAGGCAGAAAGTCCACTTTTCTTTCTTCCCCTGCTGCCCCTTTCTGCATATACCAAGGAACCCAACCACAAGGATGTGCTGGAAAACAGTAACATTGTGAGGAAGAATATTTTAAAAATAGAAAACAGATTGGCTCGAAGAGAAATGTGATAAACGTGTGAGATTTGACATCTGTTTCTGCTGACACAAACTGCCTTCGTAATAAGCAAAATTAACTGTGGTATGAAACCCACAGACAAACAATTTGTGGCAACATGAATAACATCCCTGCCTGATCTCGCCCCACCCTACCTCTGCAACTTCCTTCAACCCCACCAACCCTGCCACTACTTTTGCTCAGGGCTTACTGACCTGCTTCATGCACCCTGTCCTGTCACCCCCACCATCAATGGGTGGCTTTTCAGCCATCATGCTTCCTCTATCTTTAGAATTGGAATTCCATCCCAGAACCCTGTCGACTTGCTCCCTCCTTATCCTTTTTCAAGGTACGCCTCAAAATATACCTTTTTGACTGTGCTTTCAGTCATCTTTCCACTGCCCACCCCTCTCAGCTCTCACCCGCTTAGGTGCCCATCCATCACCTTGAGATATCCTTCCGAAGTGAAGGCGGGATTACATAAATGTAGAGGTATTTTAGACTGAAAAGTAACAGCCTTTCAAATTTACATTAATAACTGAGTGTTTGGGAGTTACCAGTAAAATGCTTGAGGGGCTGGGATGATGCCAATTGTATGTCAACTAAACTAAGAGAGAGCATTCCAGCATTGCTCCAATTTTCCTCTTCACCGCCACCCCCCAACTTCCCCCCAAAAAGATTGCACTTTTCTGTTTCTCTTGTTTTTGAGTTCATATGTTCTGTTACCATTGTCTGTGGTTTCTTATTAGTTTTATGAGTATTGGTGTACTGCTGTACCACACCTTACTGTGTTTAAAAGGTTTATGCAATGCAGTGAATTTCACTGGAAAGCTAAACATGGAGGGAACACGTGCAACAAAATGATTTATTGGGATCAATTACCTCTACGTAGCTTAGTCTTATCTAATTTATGGATTCCCATGCATAACTTACATTACACAGAGTAATTCGCAATTTTTAAAAAAACATCAGTAACATGAAAAATGACTACATAATTTACTGTATCTTCTATTTTGTTCTGATTTCTATCTTGGATTTAAAATAATCCTTTTTTTACTCATAACTGACATTGGAATCCCCTCAATGTAATTTGCTGTCGTATATCTTTTTTAGGAGCAGCACAGACTGAGTCAGCCTGGGTGCATAACTGAATGTACAAAATTAAGTTTCACATGAAAGTGATTGGAAAATTGGTGCACATAAATTCCTAATGCACAAATGTCCAGATTTACAATATTTTGTTTGAAGTTTTGATCTAGAATAGGATAATAATAATAATGTATAATATAGCACCTTTTGAGTCAGGAGACTGTCTCAAAGCACTTCAGGATTTACTGTGAAGTGTAGTGAATATGTATTTTGTAGGTGAATGCGATTGCCAAATTGCATATAGCGGTGTTTCACAAACAACCATTGACTGAATCACAATTTTGTTTAGGGGATGGTTGGTCAAGCCTTTGGAAAATACTCCCTTCCCTTCTCTTTTCGAATAATACCATGGGATCTTTGACATCCACCTGAACAAGCAGACAAGACCTTAATTTAACATTGCATCCAAAGGACGGCACCTCTAACAATGCAGTGCACCCCCAACAATGCACTGCAGTGTCAGCCTAAACTATGTGAGATCAAAGTGCTAATATGGCACTGACACCATCAGCATCCAAGGCTGCACTCTCCACCTCTCAAAGCCGGTCAGGAACCTCGGCGTTTTGTTCGACCCTGAGCTGTCCTTTCTCCCTCACATCCGCACCACAACTGGCACCGCCTTCCATCACCTCCGGAACATCGCCAGACTATGGCATTACCTCACCCCTCACGCTGCTGAAACCCTGGTCCACGCCTTTGTCACCTCAAGGCTGGACTACGGGAACTCTCTCCTCGCCGGCCTTCCCGCCACCTCCCTCCACAAGCTGCAGGTCATTCAGAACTCTGCAGCTCGTGTACTGTCCCGCACCAGGCTTCGGGACCACATCACTCCCACCCTCGCTCGCCTCCACTGGCTCCCCATCCCCCAGAGGATCGAATTCAAGATCCTCATCCTCACCTACAAGGCCATTCACGGCCTTGCTCCCTCCTACCTCTCCAACCTACTATCCCCCTACCTGCCTGCTCGTACCCTCCCTTCCTCTGGCTCCGGTTTGCTCCACGTCCCCCGCCCCAACCGCCCTACCATCGGTGGTCGGGCCTTCAGCCTCTCAGCCCCGAGGCTCTGGAACTCCATCCCCCAGTGCCTTCGCCGCTTCCTCCAAGGCCGGTCTCAAGTCCTTTCTCTTTGACGTGCTTTCAGCTCCCCTCTCGACTCTCTTCCCCCTCCTCGCTCCCTCCCTTCCCTCCCCTCACCCTGACCATTTCCCCCCTCCTCGCTCCCTCCCTTCCCTCCCCTCACCCTGACCATTTCCCCCCTGCTCGGGTCATGACCCAACTGTGCAGCGCCTTGGGACGTCCTCCTGACGTGAAAGGCGCTTTATAAATGGAATCTTGTTGTTGTTGTTGTTGATGGGGCTTGAACCCACAACTCTGTGACTAATTTTGTGAGAGTGATACCAACTCAACTAGGCTGACACCAATAGATTAATAATCCTTGCATTTAATATAGCTCCTTATCATGTCTTTAGGATTTCTCAAAGCGCTTCAAAGAATATACTGTAAAGTGAATTGACTGTATATTTTGTGGGTAAAATAAGGCAACCAATTGCTCACAACAGTGTCCCACACACAGTTGTGGATTGAGTGACCAATTATTATCATTTTGTTTGAGGGGAATTATTACCCCGGGAAAAGCGATCCACTAATCAACTAACAACCGGGTTCCTATTTACTGCTAGGTAAACAGAGGAGTGTGGAGTAAAGAAACTTGCTAAACGTTTCACCCTGCCGGGAATCGAACCCTGGTCTCTCGCTTGCTCGGCCCGTGCTCTAACCACTGAGCTACAGGATTAGTTCCTTGGGAATGCAAAATTTATTGGAATATAAAGGCAGAGAATTGAGGTAAAAGGGATATTCTCTGATAAGCAAGTGGTGACAACTGGGATTAGTGCTGTGGCACCAGTTGTGCCTCTTCTTAGAAATGGTTTGGATCATCAGTGAGTATTTCTAAGTTTGCAGAAGACTCAATGCTCGGTATTGAAGAAGAATGAAGACAGCAGTAAATTGCAAAGGACGAAGATAAATAAAGCGCGTGGGCAGAACTACGGCCAATGCTGCAAAGTTTGAAATACATTAAAGATGGAAGAATAGTAAATGGGAGTATATCTTCAATGGGAGAAGCACCTAAGAGGGATAGCGGAGCAAAGGGATCAAAGTGGAGAATTTAGATTACGTAGATCTGCCATGATTTAATAAACTGGTGGAGTAAGTTGGATGGGCTGAATGACGTGCTCCCAATTTTTCTGTCAATATTGCTCTCCTACTGGATATACGGAGGAGGTTCAGAGCAGCGTAGGATGATTGATGCTGTTACCTGAAATGTGCATTTTGTTCTTGTGAATAAACACTTAGCATCAGACTTGGTAACCACCCCTGATAATATGTAAAACAGGGACTTGCCACATGAGCAATCCCAGGTACAGATCTTCATCATCAGCGAGCCAAACCACAGTGCAGTATCAATCAATAGCTATGATGCCATGAATTTTTCTTGTTGGAAATGCTGTTCTTTTCAAAATTCCCCAATGTGGTGACTGTGGCTGAGAGGATTCAGAGCTAAATGATTTAAATGTATTAGAACACTCCAGCGATGAGAGATCTGGATTCCACTTGTTTATTATCTTTATATATTTTTTAAGAAAACCAAATCATTAGGTTTCTGTTTTAATTCACTAAAACATGTATCCTTGAAGAAGAAGAAA